GCCTTTAAAGCATTACCGTTGCAGAAACCGTATACAAAAACCATATCAGCATATTCACTATTAGAATACGTACGCGGCATATTGCAAAAGACAAAATTCATCTACTATTAAAGGCTTTCAAAGAGCGACTGACAAATTCATAACAGAAAGTGGAAAATGTAATCAAATATGTCGGTGCTAGATATGGCAAGAAATGTAAACATTTTTTTTCGATTTCTCTGAAACGGAGCAAAAACGAGCATATGTCTATAGGATTTTTTTTCTTAGTTTTTTACTCCTCTACACGCTCCCGAAGTTTTGCGATTTAATTTGGAAACACCCTGTATATATATATATATATAACTATATTTTACATTGTCTCCTTCAAATAAGCAGTTGCCATAAAACAATTTTTTTTCTATAATTTTAATCGGATTAATTTTCACTATGTTAAAATTTATTGTATAGAGTTATAGATACCTTAATGAATAGAGTTTGTTCATTGTGAGATACAATAAAGAATTTTTCTATTCTTACTTATATTTACACATTATAAGCAATTAATTGGCAATTATTACTAACATAATGGAAGATTTCTATTCACTTATGGTTCAACTTTTCTGAGCACAAATCAAATGTATCCGCGAATATTTCTTCTTAAGAAAATTAAAAAAACCTTTGCGATAATCTATACCTCGCAATAAAATAACTGTAGATGTTAAAAAACGCTTAAGTTTACACAGATTAAAAATGTTTTCGAATCTTCTTTAATATATTATCTATAAAACATGTGAGATAAATAATAGCTATTATTGATCGATCGTATTATTCTCTACCCTACGTATGCAAGGATACTTAAATCTATGTGTATTAGACAGAGACAACCAGTTAGCATACATAATAAACTTGTTTCAAAGAAAAGAATTCGTACGTCAAAACATAGATCTTTCAATTTCATTTTTTAATAATACATTAGGAAGAAAAAGAAGTTGCAAATTGCACTAGTTTCGTAGCAATATATAAAGAATTGTATGTCGCATACTTTTCCTTAACATAATTTCAAACTTGTGTAACAAATCTCACCGTGTTTTCTCACACACACACAGAGAGAGAGGCTTCCTCTTGCAGATTCGCAACGTTAATGTAGGAAGATATTTACGAAGTTTCTCAATGAGCGATTGAATAAATCCAACAGTGCTTTGCATTTCCCCCACGATATAGAAAATATCCATTCTGTTTTACTCTTACAAAACTTTTATTACTTTTATAGCAAAATTGTGGACACAGGTGCCGGATACGCAGTTGGTGCAGATAAGGTGACGAAAAGTCTGGGAAAGATAGGAGTAACGTCGCTTTGCTTTGTCGTGGGCGATTTGACAAGGCTGAGATCAGTTGTCCATAGCGTATCTTCGAGTCCATTCTTTGGCATTACGTATCGCTTCGCTCTCATTGACTTTCCAAAGTTCAGCTACATCGTTTGCCAACGGATCGTCGGGATTCGGTGCGCTCAAAAGCGCTTGTATGGACAGTAAAACTGTTCTAATTTGAAGCGCTGGACTCCACTTGTCCTTGAGGATATCCAGGCAAATCCTACCCAATCTATAAATAAATCGAGATAAATTATAATAAAGCGTTACAGCGTACTGAAACAGTAGATTATCCTTTTATCATTTTTATTTTAATTGCTCAATTGATTAAATGTAAATATACATGAATGGTTTTGATGACAATTTATCATTAAAAAGATCCATGTCTGTCAAGAAAGTTATTTTGCATTTTTTTTTTCGATACGAAACATGAAATGTTAGAAATAATTTGATAGAAGCAAAATTTGCAAGTTTTTGATAACCAAGATAGACATATCACATTTTCAATCTTTACCTGTCTATATTTGGATGATATATTTTTGTTATAAACCTAACTTTCGGTGCAGACATTGGGTAATCTTCTGGTAGGAACAATTCGAGCTTAAACAATCCACCTTCGAATGGCGAATCTTCAGGTCCCGTTACTATTACGTGAAAATATCTAGCATTTGTATCGTCTGGCACTGCACTGATACCAGGAACTGGTTCTTGCATTAATCTTTGAGTTTCTTTAATGATCCTTCGTGGTAACGCTGCCATTGTTTATGCAAAGATCTGTGAAAAAAAGAAATTTGCAAGGTTACTCTAAAGATCATTCTCATATATAAAATATATCAAATTAAAATTAAAAAATTAACTTCGAAACGTTTTTAACATTATTTCTCACTCTTAAAGCTTTACTTAAAAAAATTCCTTTATTTTACAACTTTTGAAGTTTACAAAATTCATGTAAATGAAAGAGTTACTCTGTATTTTCTTTTCCACCTCTTTTTTTATACAAGTATATACAATTTCTAATGCGAATTTTAATCTGACGACTTAACGCTGCAATGAATTGTATTTTATGTCGCGCTAGAACTTTAATGAAACGCTTATACACGTGATTGTAAAAATTGTTATTAAATTTTTTCTTTGTTACAAAACTGTCTCATATTAAACCACAAAGAACAGACGCCGATGCGAAAATCGTCTCAAGCCACCTCGTCAGCATCTCTCGCCTACCATCGGGAGAACTTCTCTCTTTTTTCTTTCTCTCTTTCTTTCTTTCTTTCTTTCTCTCTCTCTCTCTCTCTCTCTCTCTCTCTCTCTCTCCCGCCCTTTCTACACAAAACACAATGCTGGTTGTCGAACGATCGTTTCGCATCGCGATTTACAAACCGAATATCCTGACATGTGTCGAAGAGGCAGAGGATCGATAATCTTTCTTTCGCGAGTAACTCGTCGACAGGGAAACGGACGTACCGCGATCGGCTACGAATTGACAGCGTTGACAGCTCTGCCACACGGAAGAGCACGTACGCACACGTACACTCGCGTATGTATGTATATATGTATATACGCGCGCGAGCAGAGGTAAATGTGTGTCGCGCAGGTCCACGGTAATTTGTTACCAAGTGTCGAGGACGAGATGTCGTGGAGACCGCATGAACATGAAATCCTCTCGGGAATGTCACGGAATAGTTATACGGTCATCACGAAATATAAACGAACGCGCGATAAATTTGGGAGGTGGGGAGTAAAATGGAGCAAAACTGAGGATCGTTTTTCGCGCGCGCGCGAGAGAGAGAAAAAGAGACAAGAGCACATGAATCGCGCGCATCCGATTGCATAAACAAAGGGTGCGAGTGTGACGTCGCGCGGCGATCCATTCGGTTGTTCCGGCTGGTCATTATCGGCAATTATCGCACGCGGAATCGGATATGTACGGTATCTTCTATGTAAGAAACTCACGCGAGTCCTCTGGCAGTTTTTTTTTTCCCCGCAACCGCCTCTCTCGGCACCCTATGTTCTTCTAGAAACCTCGAGTCGCCGTTGTCGTTAACACTCGTTCTGGTGAATCGTCGTCGCTTTTCCGCCGTCGGCTGTCGTCAACCTCGCTGCTCGCAGCCGACTTTCCGGGAAAGGTAGAGAAGGGGGGAGAAGAGAAGGGGGTGGAGACCCCAACCGGCCGGTGATCCACGGGTGCGTGGCCCGCGGAATACTCCGATCGCAGCCGCTAATTTAATTTCCACTCGTGCGTGGACGTGGTACTCGTACACGGATGGTGGTTGATCGGCTCTGGATTGTGAACTTGATCGGTAGACCCCTCACAGCCGCCTCGCGCGATTCATTTTATCACGCTACTTGATGGCGCTGCTTGCTCTCTCGTTCTTCCGTTTGTCCGTCTGTCTCTCACTCGCAGAAAAATATTTCTTATCTATTCGCGCGCGCGCGCGCGTCAAATCGTCGTTCAGTACGTGATACACTCCTCGTCGATATCCTTTATTCG